CTTCCCAACCCAGGGATATGAACCCAGGTCTCCCGCATTACAGGTGTATTCTTTAGCAGCTGAGCCACAAGGGAAGTCCAAGAATACTGGAGTGGGTAGCCTATCCCTTCTCCAGCGGATCTTCCCAACCCAGGAATCGAACTAGGGTCTCCTGCATTGCAGGTGGATTCTTTACCAACTGAGGTATCAGGGAAGCTCACGGGGTCAGGGCAGTAAACTCCCCCTCCTGGAGGGGATAATCTACATGTGTTATTTGGGATATTTCTGTAAGGAATGGTTGTCGCTTCTCTCATATTATTTTTGTTTGAGTTTGCTGGGTTTTCTTTTGCCGTGTTGGCTCTATGTTGTGGTTCACAGACCTTCTCTTTGCAGAGAATGTTCTCTCTAGTTGGTGTTTGAGGGTTTTATTTGCCCCAGGTCATGTGGGATCTTATTTCCCTGAACAATCCATGTCCACTCTATTGGAAGGTAGATTCTTAACCATTAGACCACTAAGGAAGTCTGTATTTATTTGACCATTTATTTATACCAATATGGACTCACATGGATTAGTTTATACTTTGGGTTATCTTATCATCTAGTACTCTGTTATTCATTTTTTTGTGTCGAATTGTTTCCAGTTTGACCAGTGGAATCTTCTTAGGCTTTCTCTTTTGAATTTAAGGCCCATCTTTTTTGTTTGTGCCAATAAACTGCTTTCCTAGTGTGGAAGGTTGAGTTTGGCTCTTGAGTGAATTTTCCCACATGATGTGCCATCTCTGGCAGACCCAGCATCCTAGGCCTTAGAACTCCCATCCACAGTGGACTGTAGGGCTGTGGACCTTTGAGTCTGTGAAGCAGGAGACAAAACCCACAACCCCACAGCTGCTCACTGATGTTTCTGGAGAGACTGTGCAGTGCAAGCCCCTCTTAAGGCTGGTTCACTGATGGAGGAGGATGAAACTAGCAGACAGGGCAAGGCTGGAGCCCATGGGAGTCAGTATCTGTCTAGGAACTTGCTCCCATATGGGCCTGAGGAGCTCTGATGGCATGATTGAA